GCAGTCTCGACGATGTTTACGCATCGGCGATTTTGCCCACTTTGAGCCCTATTTTCGGCCAATTCCAATGTAATAGTCGACAAAAATCATAACTATTTCTCTAGAACTCCATTTTTTCTATTGAATGAATACAAGAAACCACCCATTTACTGATTTCAACTATCCAATACAGTGATCAGAATTTAGCAATTTTGCCAATTTCACACAAATTTCAAAAGATGCCAATTTCCAAATAGGGTCCAAAAAATAGAAGATTTACTGTTATGCAGACTGCTGCATTAGTATACAAATGGTATAAATAATATCAGTGCACTTGTGAAAGAACATTAGACTCACCAGTTGATGTGTATTAGATGCTTGGCATGATTTGTTTACTTTTGAACTTTGGTAAAACTCGAACATTTCTGCTACTTTGAGCTCAATTTCAAGGTACTTTTCATTGTAAAACCAGTCAAAATCATCTCAATTTCTATAATATGTCTTCCATTCTATAAAATGAGACCAAGAAAACTAGAATACAACAATAAATACCATACGAAAATACAGTGCAAAGTCGCTGTTTTATTCCAAAAACACGGTCAGTTTTTTTTTTTTCATTATGCACTGTGTGCTGCAGGATTTTTTTTATACTGTGCACACTGACCACATAGACCCATTCTTTCATATGTAGGCCTACCAGCTTTCTCCCACTAGATTTGAGGGCGCTAGAGTTTAGGCATACTAGTATGTCAAAAACCCTGGGTCATAAGCCATACTAGTACAGCCGAAACCCTCAAAGGATTAATTGGTAGTACTGTGTATATTTGCAGACTAGTTATCATTTTATTACTACTCAACAAAAATCTACCTATTTTATGAAAACTGCCTTACACTAAGTTAAAGACTGATATTGCTTTTTTCAGTGGAAATTTTTAACTCCTGACTAATGAATTGCTTGCCCAAAGTGATTTTCCCTTCATCACTCTACTCATTATTTTTATTTGAAAATTTTGGGGATAAGTTTAGATTTTTTTTTAATATAATTATTTAAATTGTACCCTAATACAGAATATACTCAATGTTTTAAGCCTTCCAGTACTTTTTTTTAGGTCAGAGGTGGAGGGTCAACTTATTTATGGGTAATATTTTTGAAGGGTTGAAATTTACATAACTGCAATCCCTGTACTGAAGAACATAGGACTAGAGGAGCACTATAGTAAGCCTACTGACTGTGCCAGCAGATCCTATTCATACCCTACATTTACCTCGTCTGCAACTGGCTAAACCAGTGCTTTCTTATATAAAAGATAAGAGGAACACTGCAGTAGATTTACTGGTCCATGTTAGGCAGTTCCAAGTCAAATACAGTCATTCTCACTGGTGTATCTATCCAACTTGACTTAAGGCTACTCAAAATGGTTGGTTCAGTGATGCTGTTTGGTAGTTTCTTCCATTCATTTATATATCTATTGCCAAATCATTGCTGAATTTATCCAATTTGAATCCTTTGTTTTGAATTCTTTTCTGGTTAGTTAAATTCCATACATTATTTATATTCCCCCATTATTTCTATTTTTATTGCATATTATGATTCTGCATGCCAAGAGGCAAATGCATAACATTTCAATTGCTAAGATGGCCAGCAATAACAGTTGTGTACTTGTTTAACACACCAGCCATCTCCCACCGAGGCAGGGTGACCCAAAAAACAAGTAACACTCGCCATCACTCACTGCATTACTGTCTTGCTAGAGCCATGCTGAATTACAGCTCAGATGCTCCCCAGACTGCAGTATCACCACCCTTCCTTCAATGAAGACAAATTTCAACTACTCCGTTATGGAAAACTGGAGGAAATAATAGCTAAACTGAGTATATACTACAAACCCGAATCACACAGTAGAACGGAAAATAATGTGAAGGAGCTGGGAGTGGTAATGTCAGGATCTCACCTTCAAGGATCACAACAGTGCCACTATCACATCTGCAAGGAAAATGATAGGATGAATAATGAAAACATTCAGAACAAGAGCTGCCAAGCCATTGATGATCCTTTTTAAATCACTTGTTCTCTCTAGGCTGGAATACTGTTGTACATTAACGTCTTCATTCAAGGCAGGTGAAGTCACAGATCTGGAGAATGTACAGAGAATCTTTACTGCACATATAAATTCCATCAAACACCTTAACTACTGGGAATGCTTGGAAGAACTGGACTTGTACTCACTGGAGCACAGGTGAGAGAGATACATTATAATCTACACCTGGAAAATCCTAGAGGAACTGGTCCCTAATCTGCACACAGAAATCACTCCCTACAAAAGCAAAAGACTTGGCAGGCAATGCAACATACCCCCAATGAAAAGTAGGGGTGCCATTAGTACACTAAGAGAAAACACAATAAGTGTCCAGGGCCCAAGACTGTTCAGCAGCCTCCCACCAGCCATAAGGGGAATTACCAATAGACCCCTGGTTGTCTTCAAGAGGGAGCTGGCCAGATACCTAAAGTCAGTGCTGGATCGGCTGGGGTGTAGTTCATATGTTGGACTACATGCAGCCAGCAGTAACATCCTAGTTGATCAGGCCTTGATCCACCGGGAGGCCTGGTCATGCCCAGCAAAAAAAAAAAAAAAATTTAATACTGAATATTTCATATTTTTTTAAATACATTAAACAAAAAAATTTAAGAAAAATGTGATTAAGAAGTGTTTTATTGCATGTGGACTAGGCCACATGGGCGTTGATCCCCGGAATGCTCTCCAGGTAGACCCCAGGTAGGGTGTAGGCACTATACTTTACACCTCCAGGACTCGAGTCTGGCTAACTGGTTTTCTTGAATCCCTTCATAAATGTTACCTAGCTCAAACTCCAGTAGGACATCGTCATGAAAACCACTTGACTCCACTCCTATCTAACGTGCTCCTACATGCCTGTTGGATGTCCAAGCCCTTCACTCCATCTTTGTAAATGTCCAAACGATCTCTATAACCCCTCCTCAGCCCTCGGGATAATGCTTTTAATAACCCTACACCTCATTCTAATCTCCAAACTATGAATTCTCTGTATAATATTCACACCACACATTGCCCTAAGACACGACGTCTCCAGCTGCCTCCTTGTTACAACATTCATAACTCGTGCTTCACACCCACATAAGTGTTGGTACCACTATACACTGGAACCCTGGTTTTCATCTTTAATCCATTCCAGAAGGTCAGCCGAAAACCGATTTGTACGAAAACTGAAGTAATACATGTATTTCCTATAAGAAATAGTGTAAATCCAATTAATCCATTCCAGACATTCAAAAATATTAACAAAAAATAAATTTTATGGAGAATAACTATAGTTTTACTTACAGAAAACAATGACAAATAAATATAAAGCACTAATTTTAATGGATAAATGAACATTTAAATTAATTTTTTTCTTTATTGAAGACTCTTGTTGGCATATGGAAGATGGCAAGGAGGGGAGAGGGAGGAGAGAGTATTGTTTGGAAGGGGAATCCCCCTCCATAAGGACTTAAGGTATCAAAGCCCTATCCGGGGTTACTTCCCTTCTTTGTCTTTTACTGGCACTAGGACCAGCTTGAGTGTCACTGGACCCCTGTTGCATAAAAAATCTGTCCAGAGAGGCCTGTTTCTGGCATCTCTCTAATATTTGCCTAAAATGGGACACGGCATTGTAATTGAACATGTTGCTGACACGGCTTGCAACAGCTTTGTTAGAGTGATATTTCTCCACAAAACTTTGCACCTCACTCCACTTTGCACAAATGCCCTTAATTGCTGAAGAAGGCACATTCTCCTCTCTCTCTCTCTCTCTCTTCCTCCTCTGAGGAGTCACGAATGTGACTCCTCAGATGCGTCCCGCGGCTAGGCGGACGCATCTTATATGGGCGATTTCTGAGCGGATGTAAGAAAACGGGGAAAATTTCGCCAAAAAAAGTGGTCGAAAACTAAATTGTACGATAACCGGATCAGACGAAAAACGGGGTTCCACTGTACTCTCATACTTTTCCCCTTTGGTCACCATGGATAATGTTCTTTGTCTCTGGAGATGCCTCACTTCACCACTTGCATTTTTTTCCCCAGTTAATTCAATGGTTCACCTCATCTCTCATTGACCTGTCCAAATTCTGTGCAAATGACTTAATTCAAGGATATGTGAAAGAAGATGGAGTTAGCTAAAACCATTCCATCTCTCTGATTTATAATTTTATACAGATTTGGTCAAAAACAATACCTAATGCCAACAAGTATGTAACTATGACACATTCGCATCACTAGGTTGCTTTTATTAAGGAACTTAAAATGAGAGAAATGTTTTCTTATTAAAAATGTCTTGCATGCACAATTCTGAAAATAGATTAGACAAATCCTTCATTGGGAATAGTTTGTAGGCCAGATTTTCTATGCTTCTATAGTGGCAATGAGTTGTAATAGTTGGGTGAGCTTAGGATCTATCCCAGACAAATTGGCCTACTGCAGTGCTCCTTTATTCTCATGTTCTAATTAGACTGGGAGACTCCTTTAGTTTTTGCGTGGAGCAAGTCAGGTGCTACACACCTGACTTCAGTGTAGTGACTCCTGCACAGAGAAACACCAATACCCAGTAATGTACTTTAGTTCTAAATGTTACATTGTCACTCAAAAAACTAGTAAGTTTTTAAGAGTCAATTTTTGATGTTTTAATCATGTGCAGTTTCTTATTTTATATTAATTGTTTGGCAAGGGTTGAGTCATTCTATTAATTCTGTGCTGCACTGTATGTGAATAATCAACTTTCACCATTGTCTTCTTAGTTTTCCACTTGTAAGATTCTCTGAAACCACATGTAGATAAATTACATTCTGTCCAGGATAACTTGACCTATGCATCTTTCCTCAAATCCAACCCGATTACCCCTTTCCCTCCACCCAGCCCATTCTCCAGATACTGTATGATGCTTGTAGGTTTAGTGCTTCCCCTTGAATGTAATAATTCTGACTGAAAAACTAATTATTTTTTCTTATTTAGATCCAATCAAAACGGCAAGAGGATTTTTGTCCATCAAAGCCTACCGTCTCACTCCAGAAGCCATTAATACAGTTCAAGAGCGTGACTATACTCCTGAGGCCCTCAAAAAGATGCGTTTGGGTTATGAAACCTTGTTTCAAGAAATCCGTTTAGTCGTCAAGAACTCTCACTTGGTCAATACACTTTTATGTGAATTATATGAGGTAAATTAACTTAAAAGTATTCTGTAGATCCCATTTGGACTCAGTGGTCTTTTATTTTTTTTATTATCACACTGGCCGATTCCCACCAAGGCAGGGTGACCCGAAAAAGAAAAACTTCACCATCATTCACTCCATCACTGTCTTGCCAGAAGGGTGCTTTACACTACAGTTTTTAAACTGCAACATTAACACCCCTCCTTCAGAGTGCAGGCACTGTACTTCCCATCTCCAGGACTCAAGTCCGGCCTGCCGGTTTCCCTGAACCCCTTTATAAATGTTACTTTGCTCACATTCCAACAGCACGTCAAGTATTAAAAACCATTTGTCTCCATTCACTCCTATCAAACACGCTCACACATGCCTGCTGGAAGTCCAAGCCCCTCGCACACAAAACCTCCCTTACCCCCTCCCTCCAACCTTTCGTAGGCCGACCCCTACCCCGCCTTCCTTCCACTACAGACTGATACACTCTTGAAGTCACTCTGTTTCGCTCCATTCTCTCTACATGTCCGAACCACCTCAACAACCATTCCTCAGCCCTCTGGACAACAGTTTTGGTAATCCCGCACCTCCTCCTAACTTCCAAACTATGAATTCTCTGCATTATATTCACACCACACATTGCCCTCAGACATGACATCTCCACTGCCTCCAGCCTTCTCCTCGCTGCAACATTCATCACCCATGCTTCACACCCATATAAGAGCGTTGGTAAAACTATACTCTCATACATTCCCCTCCTTGCCTCCAAGGACAAAGTTCTTTGTCTCCACAGACTCCTAAGTGCACCACTCACCCTTTTCCCCTCATCAATTCTATGATTCACCTCATCTTTCATAGACCCATCCGCTGACACGTCCACTCCCAATATCTGAATACATTCACCTCCTCCATACTCTCTCCCTCCAATCTGATATCCAATCTTTCATCACCTAATCTTTTTGTTATCCTCATAACCTTACTCTTTCCTGTATTCACTTTTAATTTTCTTCTTTTGCACACCCTACCAAATTCATCCACCAATCTCTGCAACTTCTCTTCAGAATCTCCCAAGAGCACAGTGTCATCAGCAAAGAGCAACTGTGACAACTCCCACTTTGTGTGATTCTTTATCTTTTAACTCCACGCCTCTTGCCAAGACCCTCGCATTTACTTCTCTTACAACCCCATCTATAAATATATTAAACAACCACGGTGACATCACACATCCTTGTCTAAGGCCTACTTTTACTGGGAAATAATTTCCCTCTTTCCTGCATACTCTAACTTGAGCCTCACTATCCTCGTAAAAACTCTTCACTGCTTTCAGTAACCTACCTCCTTCACCATACACCTGCAACATCTGCCACATTGCTCCCCTATCCACCCTGTCATATGCCTTTTCCAAATCCATAAATGCCACAAAAACCTCTTTAGCCTTATCTAAATACTGTTCACTTATATGTTTCACTGTAAACACCTGGTCCACACACCCCCTACCTTTCCTAAAGCCTCCTTGTTCATCTGCTATCCTATTCTCCGTCTTACTCTTAATTCTTTCAATAATAACTCTACCATACACTTTACCAGGTATACTCAACGGACTTATCCCCCTATAATTTTTGCACTTTCTTTTGTCCCCTTTGCCTTTATACAAAGGAACTATGCATGCTCTCTGCCAATCCCTAGGTACCTTACCCTCTTCCATACATTTATTAAATAATTGCACCAACCACTCCAAAACTATATCCCCACCTGCTTTTAACATTTCTATCTTTATCCCATCAATCCCGGCTGCCTTACCCCCTTTCATTTTACCTACTGCCTCACGAACTTCCCCCACACTCACAACTGGCTCTTCCTCACTCCTACAAGATGTTATTCCTCCTTGCCCTATACACGAAATCACAGCTTCCCTATCTTCAACAACATTTAACAATTCCTCAAAATATTCCCTCCATCTTCCCAATACCTCTAACTCTCCATTAAATAACTCTCCTCTCCTATTTTTAACTGACAAATCCATTTGTTCTCTAGGCTTCCTTAACTTGTTAATCTCACTCCAAAGCTTTTTCTTATTTTCAACAAATTTTTTGATAACATCTCACCCACTCTCTCATTTGCTCTCTTTTTACATTGCTTCACCACTCTCTTAACCTCTCTCTTTTTCTCCATATACTCTTCCCTTCTTGCATCACTTCTACTTTGTAAAAACTTCTCATATGCTAACTTTTTCTCCCTTACTACTCTCTTTACATCATCATTCCACCAATCGCTCCTCTTCCCTCCCGCACCCACTTTCCTGTAACCACAAACTTCTGCTGAACACTCTAACACTACATTTTTAAACCTACCCCATACCTCTTTGACCCCATTGCCTATGCTCTCATTAGCCCATCTATCCTCCAATAGCTGTTTATATCTTACCCAAACTGCCTCCTCTTTTAGTTTAAACCTTCACCTCTCTCTTCCCTGATGCTTCTATTCTCCTTGTATCCCATCTACCTTTTACTCTCAGTGTAGCTACAACTAGAAAGTGATTTGATATATCTGTGGCCCCCCTATAAACATGTACATCCTGAAGTCTACTCAACAGTCTTTTATCTACCAATACATAATCCAACAAACTACTCTCATTTTGCCCTACATCATATCTTGTATACTTATTTATCCTCTTTTTCTTAAAATATGTATTACCTATAACTAAACCCCTTTCTATACAAAGTTCAATCAAAGGGCTCCCATTATCATTTACACCTGGCACTCCAAACTTACCTACCACACCCTCTCTAAAAGTTTCTCCTACTTTAGCATTCAGGTCCCCTACCACAATTACTCTCTCACTTGGTTCAAAGGCTCCTATACATTCACTTAACATCTCCCAAAATCTCTCTCTCTCCTCTACATTCCTCTCTTCTCCAGGTGCATACACGCTTATTATGACCCACTTTTCGCATCCAACCTTTACTTTAATCCACATAATTCTTGAATTTACACATTCATATTCTCTTTTCTCCTTCCATAACTGATCCTTCAACATTACTGCTACCCCTTCCTTTGCTCTAACTCTCTCAGATACTCGATTTAATCCCATTTATTCCCCCCCACCGAAACTCCCCTACCCCCTTCAGCTTTGTTTCGCTTAGGGCCAGGACATCCAACTTCTTTTCATTCATAACATCAGCAATCATCTGTTTCTTGTCATCTGCACTACATCCACCCACATTCCAGCATCCCAGTTTTATAAAGTTTTTCTTCTTCTCTTTTTTAGTAAATGTCTACAGGAGAAGGGGTTACTAGCCCATTGCTCCCAGCATTTTAGTCGCCTCATACGACACGCATGGCTTACGGAGGAAAGATTCTTTTCCACTTCCCCATGGACAATAGAAGAAATAAAGAAGAACAAGAGCTATTCAGAAAAAGGAGAGAAAAAAAAACCTAGATGTATGTATATATATATATGCATGTGCGTGTCTGTGAAGTGTGACCAAAGTGTAAGTAGGAGTAGCAAGATATCCCTGTTATCTAGCGTGTTTATGAGACAGAAAAAGAAACCAGCAATCCTACCATCATGCAAAACAGTTACAGGTTTGTTTCACAGTCATCTGGCAGGACGGTAGTACTTCCCTGGGTGGTTGCTGTCTACCAACCTACTTATGTTTCTTAAATTCTCTTATTCATATTTCCACTGACATCAAATAATGTGTCTCTCTACATCGAGTTATAGTTTAGGTTCATTTTCCTGGAATGCTTGTTACTCTTTTTTTTTTTTTTTTTTTTTTTTTTTTTATGTACCAGCCATCTCCTACCAAGGTAAGGTGACCAGAAAAAAAAAATTCACCATCATTCATTCAATCACTGTCTTGCTAAAAGCATAGTGACATCACATCTCAGATGGCCCTCTGAAGTGCAACATTTTCACCCTTCCTTTTGAATGCAGACACTGTACTGCCTACCTCCAGGACTCGAGTCTAGCCAACCAATTTCCCCACATTCTTTCACGAATGTTACATTGCTCACATTCCAACAGCATTTTTATCTGAATGAAAACTAATACCCTACACCATCACTTATCCATACCTGATTTATATATACACTTTCACAACCTCCTATAGTTTTCTTTCTACATGACCAAACCATGTCTTGGTGTTATGCTTTTCTTACCACCAGTGTTCTAACTCTTTCATAACTTATGCTCCTGATTATATTTACTCCACTCAGGCATATGTTCATTTATGACCTTAGCCATTAACCCTTTGACTGTTTACGCCATATATATACGTCTTACACGCCACTGTTTCTGACGTATTAATACGCGTGAATTCTAGCGGCTTCAAATCTAGTGGGAGAAAGCTGGTAGGCCCACATGTGAGAGAATGGGTCTGTGTGGTCAGTGTGCACCACATAAAAAAAATCCTGCAGCACGCAGTGCGTAATGAGAAAAAAAAACTGACCGTTTTTTTGGATTAAAATGCCGACTTTGAGGTGTATTTTCGTATAGTATTGATCGTTGTATTCTCGTTTTCATGGTCTCAAGTGATAAAATGGAAAATATATTACAGAAATAGAGATGATTTTGATTACTTTCACAATGAAAACGACCTTGAAATTGAGCTCAAAGTAGTGGAAATGTTTGATTTTTACCAATGTTCAGGAGTAAGCAAATCACACCACATGTCCAATACACGTCAACTGGGGAGTCTAATATTCTTTCACTAGTGCACTTATATTATTTATTCCATTTTTACAATAATGCAGTAATCTGCATACCAGTAAATTTTGTATTTTTTTGTATGAATAAAAAATCAAAATAGAAAGCAATAGTAATATAAGAGGGGCCTAGAGACATGACTAATAAACAGAGGATATGTTATTTTAGTGCCAAGAATGTCTACATTGTTTATTCTGGACCCTATTTTGAAATTGGCATCTTTTTTAATTTGTGTGAAATTGGCCAAATTGCCAATTTCTGACCACTTTATTGGGTAGTTCAAATCGGTAAATGGGCGGTTTCTTGTACTCAACTGATAGATAAAATGGAGTTCTAAAGAAATGCGTAGCTATGAGTTTGGTCGACTGGAACAACGGAATTGACTATAAACAGGGCTCAAACTCGGCGAAATCGCCAATATGTGTATGTCGCCGAGACCACTAACTTCACGGGAGCGTAGTTCCGCAAGTTTTTGACCAAATTTCATACTTTTGGTGTCATTACCATCGGAAAAAGATTCTCTATCATTTCATAAGATTTTTTTTTTTTTTTTTTTTTTTTTTTTTTTTTTTTTTTTTTTTTTTCCAAAAATTTATCAACATGGAATGACAGTTTCAGAAAGGGGCTTGCGACAGTCAAAGGGTTAATTTTCAGATTTATTATAAAGCTGTATGCTCTCAGCACAAATTTTTCATTTCTAAATACATATTTCTTTTTAGTATATACAGACACAGCTTTTTTTAATGCACATTTTTCTTGATACTTCCTTAGATCAATGTCATATTTGTATATTTTAAGGGTTGTAATAGTGTACTGTAGTTACAATTTCAAACATGATAGGAGAGTTCGTTTTCATAGAAATAAACCATGAAGACAGGCTGCATAAAAGATAAAACAAAGTAACATTTAATACTGTACAGAATAAGTTTTGTGTAACTTTCACTTTCACAAAGAAATTTTAACAATTTTGATACATTATGATTTCATTTCTGTTGTTGCAGATGATGCCTAGCAGTGAAGGTAAACAGTTCCTGGATCTGGGAACCATGTCAACCTTAGATCGTCAGTTGAGGTGTCTCATGGAGTATGTAGATGACTTAAGCCAAGAAGCTAACAAGTTTAATAATTATCAGCGCCAGAATGCCAAACAGTTACAAGACAAACACAAGTTCATGCAGAAAAGGGTGAGACTTTAAAAAAAAATACAACTTTAGATTGTACAACTTGTTAAAAATCTCAGAAACCACCTTCGCCTTTGTAGATTTATTACTTGCATGTGCAACACCTGGGTACCTTTATTCTGAAGACATTTTGCCACCCAGTGGTGTTATTAATTTAATACAGGTGAGGCAGTCAGTTCCTCCGCCTTGAAGGTATCAAAACAGCAAGATGCTGTAACTAGAATCTTCGGTAAATCCTAGTCAAATACTAGCTTGCATATGCTACAGTTGCACATGCATTCTCTCCATATCAGTAAATAACCCACAGTGGGAAGACCTAATGCTTTCTGGAAAGTATTTTTAGATTGCCCCTTCACATTAACTTTCGTCACTTAATTATGTTCATAAAACAAGGCTTCCTATTGAAATATGCTTTGTAGCTCCTGGAGGACCTAGAGTGATCATGTATAGTTGTAATGAAACTCAGTTCACTAATGATAGTTGGTAAATTCACTACTCATTCCCAAACAGTAATTGATATACATACTGGATAATTGAAAGGGCTTGTCCAAAATTTCTATTGTTGCAACCAATTTTACAGCAGAAAATGGCATGTTTAATCTGGGACTATTTCTGATTATTTCAGCATGAAAATGATGAGAAACTTAAAATCAGTACCGTACAAGATACAAAAAAAAATATGTTCATAGAACTAAATGAATAGCTAAAATGTTGAGGAATGTGTTAAGATAACTTACTTCAGTGTTCTCTAGCCTTTTGCAGCCCACTTAAATGCAATTAATTGACTTGATGTGCTCTCCACAACAGGTTTTTGAAGATAAGTAAGTTTAATGGGGCATGCACAAGAGGGGTTAGGATTAATAACAGTAGTTACTTTAAAAGCATTATTTTCTAGTTTAGTGTATTTACAAAGATAATCTGCATTGGTGAAGCCTGAATTAATTACTCATGTGGCCACTTTGGCCCATACTGGACAAACGTTAGAGTTAGCAGAATTGGCCTGATACTTCAGACGACAATTAAGACACTGTTGCTACAGACGAAATGCAGAATTACAAATTTTGTCCATTTTATATGATAATTGGTCTGTCTGGCCAATTTTTGTGTCAAATTGTAGAAATTCGTTAATGAGAGGTTTCCTGTGTAGCTGTAGCCCGAATTTTTGCATTTGGTTTTCATCTAAATTTAAATTTAGTTTATTGTATGCTTTATAAAAATACTTTTTGTCAGTGACTGAATAATATATTAAACTCATTTCACTCTTTTATCCTCAGGCTGCTGAAAATGCTCAGCGACAATCTCGTGGTGAGCCACCTTTACCCGATGAAGATGTCAGCAAACAGTTTAAGCCTATTGCTCCGTTGCCTCGTCTAGATGCAATGATAACCTCAGGGCAGATATCAAACTACTGCAAACAGATTTCTCAATTCTGCAGCCAGTCTCTTGGCAAACTGTATGTGGCAAAGGCTCTCCAGCAAGACAAAAAGTAGGCTTTGTTAACTGAAGACTTCAGAAAATGCTGGGAATATCTAGTGTGAAGCTCAGTCCAACTTGATTAAAGATGTACTATTATTTTTCCACAACTTAATGACTCTGTTTTCTTTGTTATTTGGTAAAATTTTAATGTGGTTCAAAATTTAAACCTTGCTTAGATCAATCTACTACTGTCTTTGCATTTTTCCACTTATTAAAAAAATGAACTTAAAGATTTTAGCTTTTACTTAAACCCTAAAATTTAAGAATGAAGGGCAATTTATCTCTGATGGCTTTTATGGTCAAATATACCATCCCCTTATATTGTCTTGCCAGTCAGTAAGTTATTGATTATGAATTTGATAGATTGGAAGATATATTACAGAAGAGGCAATTTTGAATTGTTTACTGACTAAAAGTAGCTTGAAATTTGAGCTCAAAGTAGCAGAAATGTAAGATTTTTTTGGTCAGACCTGGATTCACCACAAGGCTTGGTCTCAGACTGGCCCGTGGTGGCATTGACCCCTGAAACCCTCTCCAGGTGTGTTTGAGTAAACAAAACATGTCGTGTGGTGGGTCTAACATGCATTCACGAATGCGCTGATATTTTTTATACAGTTATGCAGTAGTCTGAATAACAGTAAATCATCAAAGCAAGCATAATATAATAGGGGCCTGGAGATGTGACTAATGAACAGAAAATGTTATTTTAGTGCCAGGAATGTCTACATTGTTTATTCTGAACCCTATTTTGAAATTGCCCTTTCTTGAATTTTGTATGAAATTGGTCAAATTAGTAATTCATGATCACTTTTTTGTGTGGTTCAAATAGGTAAATGGCAGTTTCTTGTACTCAGTGATAGAATAAAAGGAGTTTAGCAAAATAACTATGAGTTTGGTTGAGTGGTACAAAGGAATTGGCCCAAAATAGGGCTCAAAGTGGACGAAATTGCCGGTGTGCAAATATTGCCGAGACCACTAACTTTGCGAGAGCGTAATTTCATAAGTTTTTCATCAAATTTCGAACTTTTGGTTTCATTGCCTTCCCACTTGCTATTAATGATCTTGCCTTTGTTCAACCTTCAAGTTTTTGGTCCCCTCTCTATGGTGACGATTTGCTAAAACTGGAATAGGTACTGACTGTTGAATGTGGTGGCCTCTCTCCTGTATGATATTGATCGTGCTTTCCAACTGGGCCACCTTCACAAGATGTCCTATTATCCCTCATAGTGTTCTGTACCTCAATGGCTCCCGTATCCCTGAATGTAACACAGTCAAAGTTCTTCGTTTTCTGTTTTATCATCAATTGTCCTGGAAGCCTTGTGTAAGTTCTTTGAAAGCTGCTTGTCTTAGCCTCTTGAAAAACTCTCCCATCTTTCATGGGGGGCTGATAGGCAAGCTTCTAAATCTTCATTCAACCTACTTTTATCTAGACTAAACTACAGTGAAAAGCTGTATTCTTCAGCTTCCCCTACTATTTCTAAACCTGATCCCATTCATCATCAAGAGTTATATTTGTGTCTCGGTTTTTGATCTTTCCTGCTTGAGAGTGAAAACCCTACCTTTGCAAGATCAACACGATACCCACTGTCTCTGTTATTTTATCCGCTTTCACACCCTTCACAATCCTTTAATGTGTAGAATATTGATGGATATTAGTGTGGCTAATTAGTGTAATCTTTGCCCACACTTATACTGCTTTCCTCTCTTTCATTATGTTCACCCTGCATTTTGCTTTTCCCTCCCTCCTTGGGATGTTCCAACAGTATTCATGTTTGCTTTACCCCACTTCCATATGCCAAAGCTCACTTGCCTACTACAACTTCAGGTTCACTCTTTAATGAACACTTCCATTCTCATTATCATGCTATTGCAGTGTACACTAATGTTTCTAAATATCCCTTACCCCATGGGATTGGGTATGCAGCTGTTTTTCCTGATAGAATGATTCAAGATCATTTACTAGAATTGGCCACTTTGTCCACAGTAGAGTTTTATACAAATCTCATTGCACCTAAGTCTGACTCACCCAAACTGCTCTGTGTGCTATCCAGAAATTTGACATCCCTCAGCCCATTGTCTTTGTATATGGTTTTGGTTATGTGGCATTTCTAGTAGGCACAAAGTAGTAATTTATTGTCGAGTCTCTGGACTTGTCTATATTTGGAACAATGAACAAGGAGGCTCAGTTGTTCGGTCAGCTGTTCATGATCTCCCAGTTTCCCTCAGGTATTCCTTTTTTCAGATATTTTTAGTGATTTCCCAACAACTCTGCAACAGTTGATCTCCTCAAGGGAGGTTCCTTGATGCTGGTGAGGGGCTTGATCTAGGGAAATGGATCTGTGCTCCAGTTCCCTGAATTGAGCCTGAATACCTTCCATCACTCCCTACAGGCACTGTATAATCTCTATGGGTTTAGCGCTCCCCCAAGATTATAATAATAATGCAACAGTTGATGTGAGTTGGACCACAACAGACTGTCTTCTGTCAAATCATGGTTTAAGTTTCTGGCCATCTTTCCACCACTGTTATGTTTGGAAGACTGTGCTCTCCCACTTAATATCAGACACATGCAACTCAGATACCACACGGAGAAATGCCCAGCACCACTCTGTACAGAATATCAGCTTGCACTTTTTGTACACTGTATCTTAATAGTGTGTCCTTGCTATCATTGGGCTCACAGGATTCACTTCTGGCATCTCCACTGCCCCAACACACACACACACACACACACTAGGTGGCATCCTTGATGAAAGTCCTCTGATGCAGGCATACTAAATTTTTAACAAACTAACCTATTGCACCAACCTTGATTGAAATTTTATTCCCTAGGTGGTGTGTGACCTTAACAGGTTTACCACATCCCCACAAATATTTAAATTGTACTGCAAAATTTTTTAAAATACATATTGCTGTTTTTTTAATTGGCTGTCTCCTACCAAGTATGGCAATCACAGAAAGGAAACGTATTCACCATCATTCATTCACTCTTGCCAGAAGTGTGCTGATATCAGAATTCAGATTACCCAACTGCAACATCCTCGCCTCTCCTTTAGAGTGCAGGCACTGTACCTTCTACTTCCAGGACTCAAGTCTGGCAAATGGGGCACCCTGAATTTTTTCATAAATGTTACATTGCTCACACTCCAACAGCATGTTCATTTAAAACCACCTGTCTCCATTCACTCCTAAGATGCTCTCCTAAGCTTGCTGGATTCTCATACCCATAAGACTCAAAGCCTCTTTTACTTTACATCCCATACCTCCAACCTGGTCTCAGACCAGGCCATGAGGGCATTGACCCCCCAAACCTTCTCCAGGTATATTTTGGACCTACCTTGCACTCCAGATGTGTACACCCTCTTTTTCATTACAGCTTTAACCCTTTGACTGTTTTCGACGTATAAATACGTCTTACGAGCCAATGTTTCTGACGTATATACAGTGGACCCCCGGTTAACGATTTTAATCCGTGCAAGAGGGGTAATCGTTATGCGAAATAATCGTTATGTGAATGAATTTTCCCCATAAGAAATAATGGAAATAAAATTAATCCGTGCAAGACACCCAAAAGTATGAAAAAAAAAATTTTTTACCACATGAAATGTTAATTTTAATACACACAAACTGAAAAAGGCATGCACACTTACATGACACTTACTTTTATTGAAGATCTGGTGATGATTGATGGGATGGGAGGAGGGGAGAGCATTATCTTCTTACTGTTTAGAAGGGGAATCCCCTTCCATTAGGACTTGAGGTAGCAAGTCCTTTTCCGGGGTTACTTCCCTTCTTCTTTTAATGCCACTAGGACCAGCTTGAGAGTCACTGGACCTCTGTCGCACAACAAATCTGTCCATAGAGCTCTGTACCTCCCGTTCCTTTACGATTTGTCTAAAATGGGCCACAACATTGTCATTGAAATAGTCACCAGCACGGCTTGCAACAGCTGTGTCAGGGTGATTTTCATCCATAAAGGTTTGCAGTTCAACCCACTGTGCACACATTTCCTTAATTTTTGAAGTAGGCACAATGGATTCCACAACTGGCATAGGCTTCTCAGGGTTAGCCCCAAACCCTTCAAAATCTTTCTTAATTTCCATACTAATTCTCACCCTTTTTACCACAGGGTTGGCACTAGAAGCTTTCTTGGGGCCCATGGTCACTTATTTTCCAGAAACAGCACCGAAAACACTGTAATAATACGAAATATTCCGATTGTATGCTTGGATGTTATTGCGGAGGCTGGCTGGTAAACAATGCCACCGGCGGAACATGTGAGCGTGGCTCAGGCCGCACATTGGAAGCGTCTCGGACGAAAATCGGTAAGCGGGTTTTTAAGCGGTATGCGAGGCAAAATTTTTGCAATTAAAGTAAGCGGTATGCGAAATAATCGCTATGTGATGCCATCGTTATGCGGGGGTCCACTGTATACTCAATAATTCTAGCGGCTTCAAATCAAGTGGGAGAAAGCTGGTAGGCCCACATGTGAGAGAATGGGTCTGTGTGGTCAGTGTGCACCACATAAAAAAAATCCTGCAGCACACATTGCGTAATGAGAAAAAAAAAACTGATCGTTTTTTTGGAATAAAACGCCAACTTTGAGGTGTATTTTCGTATAGTATTTATCGTTGTATTCGCGTTTTCATGGTCTTAGGTGATAAAATGGAAAACATATTACAGAAATAGAGATGATTTTCATTACTTTTACGATGAAAACGACCTTGAAACTGAGCTCAAAGTAGCAGAAATGTTCGATTTTTACCAATGTTCAAGAGTACATAAATCACACCACACGTCCAATACACGTCAACTGGGGAGTCTAATATTCTTTCACTAGTGCACTGATATTATTTATACCATTTTTACAATAATGCAGTCGTCTGCATAACAGTAAATTTTGTATTTTTTTGTATGAATAAAAAATCAAAATAGAAAGCAATAATAATATAAGAGGGGCCTAGAGATGTGACTAATGAACAGAGCATATGTTATTTTAGTGCCACAAATGTCTACCTTGTTTATTCTGGACCCTATTTTGAAATTGGCATCTTTTTTATTTTGCGTGAAATTGGCCAAATTGCGAATTTCTGACCACCATATTGGGTAGTCCAAATTAGTAAATGGGAGGTTTCTTGTATTCAGCTGATAGATAAAATGGAGTTCTAAAGAAATAGCTATGAGTTTGGTCAACTGGAACAATGGAATTGGCTGAAAATTGGGCTCAAAG